AAACGGCACTCCAGCAGCAGGCCGGGGAGCTGCTGGGGTGCCCAGCTGGCCAAGGGGTCACGAACGACTGCTGGCCTGCACCCAATCCTGCCAGCACCCAATCCTGCCAGCACCCAATCCTGCCAGCACCCACCCCAGGCCGCGCGCGCCTGCAAGCGGCTTCACACCCCGCAGAAACCGTAAGCTGAAGAAACCTCGGTATAAAGTGCTAGCAAGATTACAGACAGCAACATCTGCTGCTGGGCTCTAACCACAGCGCTGATAGCATCTAATTCATCTTACAAAAGGCAGCGTTCGCGGAGCTGCAGCAGTGTTTACAAACCGCTCGTTTCGGAGCCAAACTGCCTAAACCATCATTTTTTGCATAACTGTTATATACGCACCATTGTCTGGTACTATAAATCTTGCAGTGTTTTGCAGCAGTAAACCAATTCCCTCCGCAGCCGAGCAAACATTCTTCTCATCCAGCCTGCCCGTGCGACACTCGCCGTTCAGAGCTGAGCAGAAGCTAAGGCAACCGCACGGACTCATCGTGTCATTCACGTTGGGCTTTGCGGACACCGCTGCCAGCAAATGACCACACCAAGGGGAGGTCTCCGTTTGCACCTTCCAAACTCCCAGTACTGCCGTAGGAACTTATTAGCTAATCCAATTTAAAGTTGGGCTCTTGTTTAGTGGTGGAAGGCAAACGCTTTCATTTCAACGTAACACCCAACATCTCTCTAGCGTGAGCTGCACTCACACCAAGGAATCCCCAGGTCATCCAGGGATTTACAGGAATCCTTCTCCTCCCCAGAGAAACGCAGTCACCTCTCAGAGGGAACACAGCTGCCGCTTAAAACAGGACACCAAGCTGACCCAACTGGTTTAGCACTGCACTGGACAGACAATACCGCACCCAGCCAACGCTGCGGGGAAGGAGAGTTTTAGGTAAAGAGAGTGGAGCTATCCATAACAGGCTCTGCCACGGAGAGGACAGTATTTACAGGCATCACCTTGCGAGAGGCGCACGGCTGGCACGGCGCTTAGCTCGCAGGCACTTGATCTGTGCTTGAATTATCACGACGTTACAGATGGATTCCACGCCGCACGGACCGCGTGACCGTTTGCCAGCACTCAGCTGCGTAAGAGACCTTCACCTCCAGCCTGAGAAAACTGGGCCCTTCGTGCAAGGCTTCAGGGAAAAGCGTCTTTTTTCACGTCCTGCCCAGAACTTGTCCCCCCTCAACAAGTCCCCCGGGACCCATGCCCCTCCGCGTCCCACAGGCAGGTACAAAGCACGAGCTGCTCAGTGAGCGGTACAGACCGTAGAAGTAAATGGCAAAAATCCCGCCCTTGGCTGCATCGCTGTGGAATTTCATCAGGACCTGGTTGGAAGAGCTCTGGGCTGATTTCTTAGCAGAGTTGCCAGTGAACACACCAAGCTGTGGGGCTGTTTGCTGTGGACCATCCCTAGAAATTGGATGTCAGAAACATAAGAAAAGAGCATTATTACACACCTTTAATCCTAAGCAACTATCAGCCTCCTAACACTGCGTGTACAGGAACTCCTCCATGCTCTTCCTTCCTTGTCCTCCCTTTTCTACACCTCTATTGCAGTCTCAGCAGCTCCCATGGCAGCTGACCTGGACCCCAGCCCCTTACCGCATTCCATTATAACCAGGATAGCCTCCTCTGGCGGGGCAGTGCTCCCCCAGCAGACAACTACAAACACAAACATCATTTTTAACCTCAGAACTTGAAAAATAAGGGCCAGTTTTGCAAAGCAGTTTCCCTCCCTGTTTGCACAGCAGACACCGAGAGACATTTTGAAACTCAGATATTGATTGAGTGCTACGAGCTCAAGAACTTGGCCACCAGCTCTTTCGCCAGTACAGCTGCGTGCGCTCCCTTGGCTGCCTGAGGCTGGTACCAGGCCATTTCTCTTCCCTTCTCCAAACAGGAAAGCAGAATCCCAGCCTGTAAGGCTCCTGGGGTGAAGCCCTCAGTGCATGGGAAATCAGTGCTGCTTCATTAACCGCAGCAGAGCTGCGCCCATTTTGCGTCAGAGGTCACAGTTCCCGGTTGCTGCTATTTAAAAGGCAGCTGGGGGTCACAGCCGGTTCCCAACTCCATCCTGGCATCGCCTTTGCAGGCCGGGAGATCAGCTTGGATTGCAGGGCTGCGTATTTCTGATTGCAAACGAAAAACTAAAATGGGGCACTGGTAAATGTACATGATTTACCAATGATTTTTTCTTCATTCAGCCTCTCTCCGCAGACAGGCAGCCACAGATAAAGCGCAAAAGGGGAAAAAATAAGAGTCCCAGAAAATGTCTGTCAGAGAAACCAGAAGCGAAAGGCAATTCCTATTCTGTGAGTCCGAACAAGATTCATTTCAACTAAATTCAGGTTGCGATAAAGACCCGTTTACCATTCATAAAGTCTCTGTAAAGCCCCGTAGGCTTCCCAAGAGACTTTTCCTTCTTCCATTCAGCAGAGCACGTCGGAGACGAAGGGACAGGCTGGTGACAGCATCGAGCAGGGCTCTGCCGCAGCCGGGACGCTGGTCTGCATCCCCCGGCAGCTCAGCCCCCACTCACGGTCATCGTGGAAAACCCGTGGGACAGAGATTGCCAATCCCAGGCACTGCAGGGGCCTGGTGTGCTTCATTTTTAACTGCTGGTGATCACAGAAATGAAGGGCAAGGAAGACCTATAGGGTCTTACAGGCGCTGCTATAGGGCCAAGGGTGGGGCTACCCCCTGTGAGCTGCACAACACGGAGGGAAAAGCACCGTGCAAGCTAAGGACTCCTGTACAGACCCCCCAGACCCAAAGGATGACAATTCCATCACTTGGCATGAGCAGCCTAGACGTTCAGTGATCATTCCCTTCACCAACCCTGCACTCCCTGCCCACGTTTTGCAGGAAAGGAACATTAACAGCATTTGGAGATGGTCATCTTGTCCATTTTGCTAGCCCCGCACAGCACAAGGTCCTCAATCTAAAGGTCCTATCAAGCATGGGGAGTTAAAAAAACCCAAGTCCTCATCCCGGTGTCCCCAGAGGATACTCCCGCTCTCTGACACAGCACTACCCACGCACCGTGGGAATGGGTGCTCCGTTTATCAGCAAGAGCACCTTTCTGAAATGGAGCCTTAGCAGAAGCTCCAGTCAACCCTCAGCCCTTCACTCTACCCACCAAACAGTGATGAAGTCGTTGTAGGGCTCTGTCTGCAGTAGGGTGAAGTTGAGATGGATTCCATATCCCACCGGCACTGTGAGAAGCCACGTGCAGTCCTGGGAATTGGGGTACTGGTTGGGGAAGCCAGGAGAGTAAACGGTACCGTTTTGGGTGGTGACGTTCCCCCCACAAGGCACTGCAGGTAATCAAACAGAAACACAAACCTAATAAAGAAATATCCCTCCCAAAACAGTAACTCTTAACCTCTATTTCCCATTTTCCTTTACTTTTTTTTTTTTTTTTTGATGAAAGGGTAACAATTCTGGAGGACCCAGCCCCAAAACCTTGGCCTAGTTTGTCTTGAATAATTTGTATCTGTCACAATTACGTCTGATGTTTTCAACTTGATTCCATTACAATACATTTATTAAGTGCTCCAGAGCTGAAAGGAGCCTGTCAGGGTGCTTTATACAGATGTGATAGCCAGGTGTGCAAATAAACTCTATCTAATACCCCAGCAAGAGTCTTTGGGCTCTGCCAGCTGTCTGCACCCATGCATGGAAAATACAGCTCCTGACGAGATCACACCAGTGGGCAAATCCAGCCACTTGTTCAGACAGCACGGCCTGGACCAGAACCACCAAGCAGCTGGCTTTTCACCAAGTACTTCCGAGCAGGGGGGAAATGATGATTTGTACGACAGCAGCATTCAAGTCATTAATCAAGACAGCAGTTCTATTGCACTAGGCACCTTCCAGGTCCACATGAACTTGCAACCTAAAGAGATGCAATTAGAAACAGCCTGGGCAGCACAGAAGAGGGACAGGAAGATGACATTCTGCTGAAGGCAACGCAGGAGGGCTACAGCAGGTCTCTGGGTCTGAAAGTCCCATGTACAAGCATCAGCTTCTGGACCTCCCTGGCACAAAGTTCAGTTGAAACGATGACAACATCTGCAGCGTGTTACTGGCAACCGGCAGCAACTGAAGGCACAGCTGTAGAAGGCACAGAGCTGTATTAACCCAGTCCTTGGCTTCGGCTAGCACATTCTCCCTCCCAGCAGAACTTCTTAATTCAGGCTCAGTGCTGAACACTCACTCTTATTCGTACAGGAATAGCTCCACAGACTTATACCACCCTGGCCCTGACCTGATGTGCCAGATGTGAAGTTAGAGCCAAGCTCCACACATTCCCTGCCTGGTTCTGCTCTGCTTTCTCACGTGGTCCATCAAGCTGAGAAAATCACGTGTATTTATACAACTCCATATGCTCATTTTCTGAAACAAACACCCAAGGAACCTTGGGGGCCAAGTTCCTTTCTGCCCTGCAAAGCAGCAGGCAGCCTGCTGATCACTGGAAAAACTCCCAGAGTGGTGCTGGAAACCTCAGCCTCTGTGCGTTTATTTTAGAATTGCAGCTTGTCTTTTAATTAACAGGGCTTTCAGCTGTGACCTGTGGGGGAAAGGTGAGGCGGTCAGCCTAAGGCAGCGAGTCCTCACTGCTCGCTGCTATGCAAAAATGGACCAGTTAAGCAAACAGCTAGAAAAGGAAAGGTCTTCACCGACTTTAGCAGCACTAAGAAGCCACCAGATACGCGCACAGAGAAAAAAACCAAATGGTCCAAAGGGTACCTAATCCCTCACCCCCCTGTCATATTAAAAGTGCTGCAGAGCAAGAAAACTATTTAAAAAGCACAACAAAGAAGGAAGAATTGGATGGCTGTAGCTGGTAGAGCTGATGCTCAAGATAGATGAGGGCATAATCCTGGTCCCTCCAGCTCCCCCCCCACTAACAGCACCCAGTTGAGCACGGGACATTTTCTCAGCCAACACCCATCTCTGTTGCACTGCTGGGCCCAGTGAAAGATCAGATGAGGATTCGGTTCTTTATGCTTTGTGTTCTCTGGAGTTGAAGTATTTAAGACTTGAAAGAGGAGAAATATCACCTCCCTCTCCTTCCCCAGAGCACGGCTCTTACAAACCAAATGCTGTAAGGAGGCTGGGATAAAGGTCAGCGCTCCCGGGAAATGCGGCAGGAAATCTTCAATACGCAGTCTTGAACTTCTTACGGGTTCATATGAAAACCTTCCAAAGTAAACCACACAAAACTCAGTCCGTTGGCCCAAAGGATGAAAGGCCGAAACAGCCATGCTGGGGTCGGAAAGGAGAATTCCCATGTTCGAGCTTTGATGCCTAGAACATCGATCTAGTCCTTCAGCCTGCAGGGCCCTCCCAGCGTACGTGGTCTTCAGCAAGGAGAGCACGCTCAAGGCTACTGAACAACTCCCATATGGATCACTTCAGAGATGCCATCACTGCCACACTAAGGAGACTAGACAGGGGCATAATCTTCCTTCACTGAGCACCCAGAGCTGCAAGGGTCTCTTACCAAGGAATGTTTTTATTTACCAATGCTAAATCAGCAGAAGCTGAACACTGTTGGAGAAATAAAGCAGACAAGAATTATTATCACAACGCCCCTGGGCTGCTTCATGCTGAAAGCACAGCTCCCGCTGGCACCAGCCGTGGACCGACAGCTAGAGCCCGTCCTCACCCACACATCAGATTCAAACGCACCACCTCAAAAGATGCACCTGGGTTTTGAGCTGCTCAAAACGCTCGCTTTGACGAGGCCGAAGCAGGTTGAACATCAGCTCACCGAGAACGTGCGTCAGCACCTCAGGGGCTGAGGCTTTATTCACAGCGCACACCCCCAGCCTGCCTCCAGCCAGGCTTTTGATTCCAGAGGAGCTTGCAGCCCAATTACAAAACAACGATTCAAAAGCAGGTCAAGAACAGAGCGCTGAAGCCTTTTCTCTCCCCAGAAACGCTGGTTCGGGTGCTCTCGGGGCGACCCCAAAGCCGTACCTTCACACCTGGGCAACGGGTGGTCCCAGTTCCTGTTGGTGCCGTGCTGGCAGGTCAGGACGGGGTGGCCGATCAGCTGGTACCCAGGCAGACACTCGAAAGAGATGGACTGGCCGACGTTGTAACCGGCTCCCCGTACAATGCCATTAGCAAAAGGTTCTGGGTCAGGGCATTCGTGTAGCTCGTAGGCTGGGGGGAAAAAAAATGGGAGGAACGTTTCATACTTTGTATTTTCTCACAAGAGCAGCAACAGCACACTCTCCATGCTGCTTGGCTGCTTCCTCCTCGTACAATGACTTAATTGAAGGAGATAAACTTTAATGAACCATGCACACCTCTGCACGGAGGCGGAGGGAAAACCCTGCTGCTGCTCTGCGGTAGCCTCGGACACGAGCGCTGGGGTCTGCCCTGGGCTGCTGCAGCCTCAGCGCCTGCACTCGCACCCAACCCCGCACTTCACTTCTCATTGGGAAATCTGCCTTGTTTTTCAACAAAATGTGGATAACCCTGATGACAAACGCAATTCAATTGGTTAACATGTTCCACCTGGCATTACAAATTACTGGTCAGCCTCGCTAGAGCTAATTTGCATAGCAATTTCCATGAGCTTACCCAGAGTGCCTCAGAGAGCACATTCCTTCCTAAATTGTGCAGCAGCGCATGAATTATATGGTGCACGAACAGGACAGCCAAGACAAAATTAATGTTTTCAATTAAGCATGAGTAGCGGCTTTTATTGCTATTTCTGGGGAGTCAGCCCTCTGTCAGTCCTTGGCTCCATCACACGGCTGGAGACACACGCTCCACCTTTCCCACTCCTCGCATCGCTCTCCCAGGCAGTGGCTGGACCGCGTGGCTCCCAGCTGCTGCGCGGCAAAGCCCCTCCTGGTACTCAGCACACGATCTGCCCGGGGCGTCCTCTGCCCCTTCCTATTCCCATATGCCAAGGACACGTGGACAGAGCAGACCAAAAGGTTTTGCAAAATCACTCATCAAGGCAGAGCTGCGGATCAAGCAGGGCCAGAAGTTCATGTTCTCTTCTAACAGGGCAAAGACTCATGCGGGCGGCCCCAGCCCAGCACCTTCAAAGGGCAGCAAACCCAGTAGAAGGAGCACCTCCAGGGCCTTGCTCTGCTGCTTTCAGAGGCCGAGGCGGCTGCTGCTCAGGGAGTATCACACGCTCAAAACTGGGGAGCTGCCTGAGGACTCGGGCTGGGTAGGCACCTCCTAGGCACCTCCATTCCCCCATCATCTCCAAAAACTGCACCAAAGGCATGTTTTGATTTTAATGATTTATTTCTCTCCTTTCACTCCAAGTACCCATGCCAGCCCCTTTGTTATATTATTCAGCTATTTACTTCTTTACCAGGTTCCCACCACCAGCCTGCCCCAACACCAGGACAGGCTGCAGCTAAGAACACATTTGGACATCAAGCTGGGACTGAAAAGCAGCTGCAAAATTCCAGAGCAAAGTCGTGGCTGCAGAGGACTCTTCTCCTTGCACATGACAGTTGAGAGTGCCAAGACCTAAGTGAATCTGGCTGGAATTAATTCAAAGGCACTTCACTGTCACAAGGCACTCTAGGAACATTTGTTGCTTGCCGTAGGCATAAGTCTGGGTGAACAGGTCCCAGTTATTAGGATTAACCACAGCCCTCATGTAACACCTTTCCACTCATTTGGATTAAGTCCTCCTGGAATTAATTCCACAGAACAACCAACAATCGTCTCCCCACTGCCCTCCCCGTTAGCACCCGGGGACAGGATTGTCCCACTGCTGCTCGCTCCGTGGCCTCCTTACCTTGGTATTCCAACTTGAAGCCTGGCTTGTTCTGTGAGTGGTCGCTGTGGAAGTACACCGTGGTTTCATGAGATGTCGACAGGAGCGAGCCTGGGATTTCGGTGCCGCTGAACCGCCCGATGACGTTACTGGTGTCGTACGGCCCATTGCGGATTTCGACAAAGTCATGGTTTGGCTCAGTGGAGAAGTTTAGGAACTGGATGTGAGCACCTGGAGAGGAGGAATGAACAGTGTGCCTCCAAAGCCATACCCCAGCCGCAGCACATCGGCACCGCTCACCCAGCGATGCCCACTATAGCCTGGTCAATCAGCAGGAGTACATTCACCATGCTGGAGGTGGAGGGTGTCTGGAGGTATACGGGTCCTGCTAGTTTCAGACAAGCTCAGGCTACGAGTGCTTGGAGTTTCACGCTGCTGGAGTTCCTGTGCACGCCTTTCCCTCTGCCTGACACCAGAACATTTGGAAGGCCAGCACAGAGCTCCACGGATCTCCCCTGGCCAAACTGAGTAGAGCCAGCTCAGATGGCAGGACAGACCGAGCTGGGCGTTTCGCTTCCCCAGGAGCACACGGCAGCTTCCCCAGGAGGAGCAGACTCCATGCAGGAAGCCCAGAGAGTCAGCACTTCTCCAGGCGTGGAACACCTTCACCTCCTGGCAATCGGGCACCCTGATGGGGCTGGCCTGGAGAAGAGCTGAGCTGGAGGTGTGCAAATTTCTTTCCTACTAAGGGCTGGGCAGATCCGAATCCTGAATGTGCTGATGCCTCCGTGAGCTCTAGCTGAGGTAGGATGCAACCTGACACAAGCTCTGGTCACTTGCTGCATTTATAAGGGGTGATGCAACTGGCGATGTCTTAAGGCTATTACAAACATCAGCAGTTAGGAGGGGGAAGTACACAAGCGCATTCAGGGAGGATGTTACAGCTCATTCAGAGGCGTGCCCACAAACCCTTATCGACCTGTTACACTCCATGGTGACCTGTAATCACCTTTGAAAAAAATATCATTTCATAGCACCACATAAATGCATTTTTAATGGAAAGCGTGATCAGGAGGGCAAGCAGCAGAGTTTCAGTAACTCGCGTTGGCAAGCAATGCATCCAGCACTGACTGAACAGGGACGGCACCTTCCCATCACCTCTTTGGTGAGAGCACCAAACCCAACCCAGCTGTCTCACCAAATCCCACCGGCAGCAATATCCTCCACGTGCAGTCCAGGTTGCTCGGATAATTTCCTGGGAACCCTGGGCTCAGGAGCACTCCTTCCATCTCTTCTGCCGTTCCTCCACACTGGGCTGTAAAATCAACGTTGTTAATGGTTAGGATCACTTACGGGTCTCTCTGCACGATGGTCATGGCCAGCCAGCTGTGTGGGAAATAAAGAAATTAAAAACTAAGCACAGAAAAAGCTAAGCCTGCTATGGAACCAGCACAAAGTTTGCCAGGCACTGCCATAGCCACATTCCCAATGCCTGTGCCCTTCTCCTGCCCGCTGCAGATAAAAGCCGGGGCCTAGAGCTCCAGTTTTGGCAATCACAGTGGGGGAGACAAGATCTGAGCTGCAAAAGCGACGGGCGCTCTGTTCTGTCCACAGACATTGTAACAGCGCACACTGGGCACGCAGCACTTGTCTGAATTTTTAACCACCTAAAAAAATTACTGTGAAGAAAGAGACTGATCATCTTTTGACTCCAGTTACCGCTGCTTCTTCTTCTGGTTACCTGATCTACCCTGCCCGCTATACTTGTCGATCTCTGGGCAATTACTGATAAATACAGAACAGAGTGTTTGCACACTGACTGCAGTAAATTCCCTACCAAGAAGCCATCCACAGACGACAGCACAAAATATGTTTACAAAAGACATCACATGAAATTTGACCACAGATAGCATCTTCTCACGCTTGTCCAGATGACCTCTACCTCGTTACGGTAATACCACCCAGCCGAGTACACCCAGGTGTACTCCCACCGCGCCCTGACAGCGAAGGTACAGATTCCCTTTGCCCTGCACCTCATTACGTGTGTACTTGCTACTAACAAGGTTTCTCCCAGAAGAGTTCTCTTTCTTTTTCCTTTTAATGGCTCGCTGATAGAACTACTTCTAAATTATTGAGAAGTCGAGCATCTGGATGAAGCAGACCAAAAGAGAATCAGCACGCTTCGCCAGGGAAACAAGCTGTTCTCTGAGCAGGGGAAGGAGCAGCGGCTGGACCCGCCAGCCAGCGCTGCCCGGCACAGGGTTTAGCCACATCCGTGCACGATGAGCACAGGACAAGGCGCCTCAGGACTGTCAGCACCCCCAGGACAGACAACGGTGACTCAAGATGATCAGCACTTGGCTGCAGAGACGTGTCCATGCCTCTCTCAAGTCGGATGCCCTTTTGCAGCCACGCGCAGTGCGAGCTGAGGGACACGGACAGACAGGCGAACGGGCGTTCGTACCGCTGCGCCTGGTCGTGGCTGTCCCAGCCCAGAGCAGCTGAATTACACGGCGCTGGTGTTCACGCCGTGACAGCGCCTGGGTACAGCCCAACCAGGGAAAATCCTACTGAACTGGGTGACTGATGCTGATTAAAAGAAGAAAACTTGAAATTTGCTCAGCTAGTCATCAGCTAGATGATAGCATTGGGATCCTCCCCCAGGCTGGGATCCCCCAACTCTAACACCGAGCTGAAGGGCTTCCGATTTCTTTCGGAGCAGCTCCCATGGGTATGAGCCCTTTAGCTCAGTCATTCTGCTGTAAGTGTCTCTGTATTTATTCCTGGCCTGCAGATCATCGGATAAAAGAACTGTTAGCTCTTATAATTACTTTAAAGCAAAATGATGTAAGCTAGAACAGCAGGAGCCTGAAATAACTGTTAACTAAAGCTATTAAATGCATAAATGTCTCTCTCAGAGCTGTAAAACGTGCAATATGAATATTAAACACCTAGATTTGCTAAAAGGAAAATACTGAAAATAATCCAAAAGCTCCAGCAAGTTCCCTTCACCTCTGTGCCTCTTCTCCTACGGCTCACTTCTTCCACGGTGGAAACCAACCGCCCGGTCCCTTCCTCCCAGAGCTG